GGTCCAAAGATACTAGATCATTGATCTGCTCCAGTTTTACAAAGCTCATTTTAATTAAGAGTTTCTAATAAAATCATTGTGTCCCTTGCTAAGCCAGGCCTTGGTCAGCTTGGGGTAAAATGTGCTGTAAATATCCTAGGGCTGCACTGGTGCAGTTATGAGCAACGCAGGGTTTTAGGAATCCAGGCATTTATCATCCAGATCTGCCCCTTTACAGATAAAGCCAACGCGTCCCATTAAAATCATGCTGAAAACTAATACAGCAGAACTGTTTTGTTACGCACCTACTGAATTTTATTTATAGAATCACTTTTAGAAAGGCTATCTTAAATACTTTTTTAAAAAACTAAGTGTCCTCTCCCTCTGGCTTTTACAGAACTGATTCGAGGTGGTGGGGTGAAGGCATTACACAGCAAAAAAACCCAAAAAAATCGTCAAGCTATGTTAAAGCTAAAAACGAAAACTTTCCTTCTTAAAACACAAAACTTCCAGATATAGGATTTCAAAGCTGACTAAGCTTATGTTTGGAACAGTATAAAGATATGAAATGTTTTTAATTTTTTAAATACTTCAATTAACTTTTCATAAAAACAGTCACGGACAGCAATAAAGGGCAATATTTAATGAACAAAAATGTTGGCAAGGGAAACAAACACCATTTCATTGGTTAATATTAGAAAAAGAACACTGAGGTTCAGACGGACTTGGTTTAATTAAAGACAACAAGGACACGTACATCCCAATTTGCCTGACAAAAACCAGCCTTTCCTCCCTGAGGATATTGCTATTTTGCTTTCAACATCTCAAATCCAAAAGAACAAAAGTCAAAGCTGCTTTCAAAGTTTGACATCCCTCAGCTTAGGTAGAAATAAGTATTTTAGTTTCCATTTCCCTCATGTTCCCACTCCAGGGGGCAAAGTCCCTAGCTCCCTGCATCAACAGCCCCTTAACTAATTAGCAAAGGGCAGTTTCTAAATAATTGTTTATCATGCGTTCTAACTTCAGATCGCAGGCACAGGGATCAGGTTTAAGACATCAGAGTAAGTAGAGAGAAAGTAAGATCATCTACTCTTAGATCCAACCTACCAGAGCTTCTTGCTTGCTGCCTGGTTCCCACATCCCATTTTTGCATTTTTGTGTATCAAACACGCATTCTTTAAAATGTAAGGAAATATGAGAAGAAGGAAGAAAATGCCCAACTCCTTATTTTTCTAACCTTACTTTTTGGCCAAATAAACCCCTATGAATAAGATAAATATGAATAAGTCCCTTATACAAAAGATATTATCCTTAGATAAGACCTGGGAAAAGCTATCTCTTCACTACAAAGTTAACCTTCTCACTTTACTGAAGGAACACATAGTATGCTCTGGGTTTCCCTATAAAGTGATTCAAAACACACTGCAACTTGGGGTACAACAATCGAGAGATAATTTTCATTATAAATGTACAATTCTAAATTGACATCTAAATCGTATGTGTAACTTACCTATTTAAAATAAATTATAAAAGTATCAGAGTCAAACTCAACAGTGCTGTAAATTCAGATAAATCCTTAGGCTTGTTTCCTTTCCTAATCCTTTCAGAAGATCCCATAGCCTTATTGCCATCAAGGTAAAAAAATGCAAAGCTTTGTATTTCTTTCTATGGAAAATATTAGCATGATAAATGTTCTTCAAAATTATGAGACAAAGAGGGAAAGATGTTATAGATTTTTTTAAAAGTTTTCATACTACATTCACTGATGAGCATAACCTTCAAGTCACCTTCCAAAATCATGATTAAAGTGCAAAGTCTAATACAAAAGAAAACATTTTGATAAATGTGGAACTGGATCAATCATTTTTTAAGCCATGAGAACTTTTGTTTCTTTAATAAGGTGCCTGTCATAACTCTGCATTACCCTGTTGTGGTCAGACTGAACAATACACTGCATGTGACATTGAAGCTACGATTTCAAGCTATAGAGTCTAGACACTCACTGAATTTAGTTTGAGCAATTGGCTGTTATTTTGTTTGTACACAATGCTTTCCTCCTTCTGTAACCAGATGGAAGCTTAACAATTTCTGAGCTAGTTGAGATACAAGGCAAAGCAGGCTCATTGTGAAGTTAGACATGTGTTTCCTTGTAAATGTCTCTCTGCAGAGTCATTTCATTTTCAAAGACCTGAAGAAGACTAACTGCAGCAGCCTGCCTGTTAACCATTTGCTCTTTTTACCGAAAGTACTGTAAGTGTGTATGCAACATGAAATTGCCAAAAGGTTTTTATGTTTTTTAAATAAAAGTAGAAAGTAATAAGTGACTTAAGCATAATTACTGCATAATTAGCATGTTGGCCTTGTCTGATCACATCTTTCTCAGAGTCCAACCTGGAGACTGGCAGTACTTAACAAAAGGGCAGGGCAATTCCCTCCGCCCCCCCTTTTCTTTTATTTTTCCATCTGAAACCAGAAAATCCTGTTTGCACGATATTCACAGGTCAGTCCCCTCACTCTGTCATCTGTCTCTCCCAACAGCTTGAGACACGGGTTCTCTTTGCCTGAAAGATAACCAACCCGTCACTCAGCAAACTAGAACAGCCTTCCCCCACACAACCTGCAATACTGCAGTTTGACATTAACAAACCAAAAGTAACTCCCTAAATTAACCCCTGCTATTTTAAAATACAAGTGGGCCAAGAGACCTTATAAAAATAAAATCTAAAAATAAAAATCTCTAGAAACCCAGGCTTTTTCTGATCACTTACTGCTTGACATGATCTCATCACTTAATAAAACAGGGACTAGAGAAAGCATGCTGTGAAAAGAAAACATGAAGTCTGGGGTCTCTGCTTCTCAGAAGCAGTGGTTCCTTCTCAGCCACAGTAAGCATTTTGCCATCACCGCGCCTGTGGCCCCAGCAAACATGGTCATGAGTCCTGCATGCTGCTCCTCACTTGGTCTTACAGTATCCTGAACTTTTTTACCCTGAATTCCCCCAAAAGACATTTTAACAGTTAACATTGCACCATATAGCAGGATGTCTGATGTAGATTCCTTGTTTAAATAAACATGCTGAAAGATATGGAAAATCTATTCCAGATTAGTCATTAAAATCTAAATAGGGAAATATATTACACTTTAAATGGAGAAAAAATATTTGGTTTTACTCAAGGTTGTGGTGAATCTGTCTGACAACTTTTAAATTAATTTTAAATTAATTCAGACGCTTTTCAATCATTGCAGTCGCCCCCAGGGAGCACTGAACAGAAAGATGACAAGGCAATGGGTTGTGTTCAAACTTATCAACTCTATTTCCCTGGACTTTTCATCTCAGCAGATTTCAAATTCCCCTTCCCAAGGAACATTTGACCTTCAAATGTCAGGCCCTGTATCTCTTGATTCCGTGCATCCGTCATGTTAGAAAACTCAAACTGGGCTACAAGTTGAATGAATTTTAGGTGTTTTCAAAATCTGCAATCTAATCATGGTGCCAGCCCTGCATTGCAGAGAAATCTTAGTGTGCGATTCCAGCTTGACTCCTGCAAACAAAGTCACTACCAATAGGCTTTCGTTGTCTCCGCCCGGGGACGAGAGGAAGGAAGCCCCCAGGGCGGTCCCCGG